GTGTCTTGATCATAGACGTAAGATATACATATGAACCCCGCTCATTAATTTGACCACGACCTAGGATGAAATACTACACCGTGTATCGAAGTCGGTTCCACTCTGATAAAAACAAATGGAAATTTACACATATAATTACACACCACATAACCGATGCTTCACATAGAAAAATGAATAAAAAATAAATATCGAACCTTGCCAAGCCCCCGTACCTTGATCATAGACGTAAGATATACATATGGACCTCGCTCATTGATTTGACCACGAACTAGGATGAAATACTACACCGTGTATCGTGGTAGGTTCCACTCTGATAAAAACAAGTGGAAATTTAAACACACCACACAACCGATGCTTCACATAGAAAAACGTATAGAAAATAAATCACGAGTCTTGCCAAACCCCCGTGTCTTGACCATGGACGTAAAATATACATATGGACCCCGCTCATTGATTTGACCATGAAGACCGCAGAAATGGAAGAAAGAAAAAGAAAAAAACAAAGCTGATTTCTTGTTCTTTTCTCTGTACTTACGCGAATCGGTTGCGCAGCGAAATACTGGGTGTTGCATAAAGATGGACCCGATTTCAATAGACTTTTCCGTACAAGTCTGATCCATCTTTTTGCAACATTATGTGCAATGACAGTTACAATAAAAGATAAAGAGAGGTCCCTCTGTTAGCTCTTTACTTTTCGCTGTCTGCCCAGAAGTATCAAGTGGCTGGATTAGCGGATTCCATACATCTTACGTCCATGGTTTTAACATTAATTAATTCCTCGGACATCCGAAAGGGAGGAACGAATAGAATCTTGGCAGCTCCTTGTCAGGGAAAAGTATTTCATGCGCCAAGTAAAATTGAACCTTTCGCGGAAGTAAAGCAAGTAAATCATAGTTTGACTGCACGAGGGGAAATTCTCGCAACGGTACTTATAGATGCATTGCACCTGCCTGCACGTAACAAAGGTGAACAATTGTTTAAGTCTCCTACGTTGCTTTTGAATGCTATGAGAAGTTCACACAGAGCTTCCGCCATGAATTATGGACTCGGATCAATGTCGTTCAAATTTTTTACGATCTACGATTAGTAAACATGAAATTACCCGACGAGTCGAATAGAAATCAAGAGTTGACATTTGTATGACTATGTGCTTTTACAAAGTACAAGGTCTTCCTTTGAAGATTCCTTTTTTAACTCCAAACAATCGCTTCACTTTTTAACCAATTTTGGTAAAATATTTTAATATAGTATACCGATGTTATAAGCTGCTTTCTTGAAAAGCGATTGACTACGAGACGATTCCTGCTTTTTGCTGGACATTGAAGACTATTTCGTCGGATTGGCAAGAAGTTGAAAATGCAAATGAATAAGTTTTCGAAGGAAAACGTAAACAGGGTGTACAATATCCTGCGATACTATTTCACGTAAAGAGTAATTCAACCGCTGTTAAATGTTGCCTTTTCATTATTATTCTCGATTTTCAGGCTACTGAAAAATCGCTCCTCATTTCATTAACGCTAATTGCCCCAGTTCAAGGACAACGGAACAATTAAGTGAAATTAAAAAGGCTTGGGCGTTGCATTTCCCTCGTTATTGTAGGAACTCCACCAGGTAGGAAATACCCAGTCATATGTCACGCCATTAGGACGGAAATATAGTAATTCCGTCGAAAAGCCGAAAGTGTGAAATGTTGCACTTGTTGGTACTTGTACGGCAGCCCGTAGAGCAATTATAACAATCACCAACAAAAACACCGTCGGTGTAAAAAAAACTTGCGCCAAATACATCCATGCAATTGAAACACTATATTTCACAGTCATGTTCATGACAAGTCATATCTAGTGGCGATCAATCGCACAAAAACAATGAAATCAGCTATCGTTACCAAATACATGCAATGGGTGTTATATATGCGAAATATTAAATTTTACGAAAATATACCCATGAAGTAATAATTGAGCGCATAGCAGTAATGAATCATTCTTCCTAAACAAATATAGTATGTTACATTGAAAACAAAATATNCCAATTGAATTAATGCACTTTCAAAATAGAACTAAATGAATTCCATATATTGTTAGGTAGACCGGAAAGTATTGTCGTTTCTGTTATTGTTTGTCATTTGTTGGCTTATCGTGTAGTTCAAAAACGCGCCAAGGAGGGCCACGTGCTATTTTAAGGTTATGTTTATATCATTTCTTTAAATTTTTGACTTGGACCACTTTCATAATTAACACTAAATGAATTCCATATAATATTGAAATTACAATCACTATCTAATGGTTCATTTTTGACAATATTGAAAAACTTACATTGAATTAATTTAGTTTAAAATAATATGGGGTGAAATAACTGATAAACTCATTTTTTTTTAAATTTTGACAGACCACTTTCATAATTATGGGCTCATACGTAAGCGAGAGAAACTAGTCTACGCCAAAGAGCAACTTATCGTTTGACATTATTCCGGCGCAGTTTAAAGTTAACAATGCCTCACCGGAATCGAATTTCTTCAACTTGTCATTCAAAAAGTAATATCTGGATACAACTACAGGTTGGATCGGTGTTTGAGAAGCGATAGCAACATGAAAGGCGCCTTTCTTGAAAGGAATCAAGGTGCTTCCCGAGTGTCTTTTGCCCTCCGGAAACAGCAAAAGTTTCGCCTGAAATAAATACGACGTAGACTTAATATAATTTCAAGTATATTAAACGTATTCTACCGCATGTCGTAATAAACCATTTAACTTTCATAAAAATAATAAATATTAAAACAAGCTGATAAGGTTCTGCAACAATACTACAGTGCAAGGAGAAGCTATAACCAAGTAAAAGTTTATCGATACGAGAGTTGGAATATTTTTCCGTGCATCAAAGCTACACGTGCCCCTAGATCTCGAATTCTCTCAAACAAGATCTTTTACAATGTTGTATCTTATCTTATATACGGAATATTTTTCCGTGCATCAAAGCTACACGTGCCCCAAGATTTCGAATTCTCTCAAACGAGATCTTTTACAATTTTGTATCTTATCATTTCGTTCAGATTCTTTCATGTGTAGAAACACAAATGATCAACGCCTATCTCGCTCTCTGTACTCGCAAGTGAACTTAAAATCGAATGATCATACGAATAGATATAATGCTTACGTCACAAAAATGTTTTGCTAATTCAGCTTTAACACGCTAAATATCTCCTCTTGTCCCCAAGGTTACCCTTCCAAGCTGGACATTTCAAATATTAGCTGTCATTTCTCGGATAAATAACAGTGGAATTACCTTTCTCTGATTGATAATATCGGCCGTGGAATTAATCGTAGTGTGGGCCTGTTCGACGTTTAATCTGTCGATGAAAATGGTCCCCCATAGCCAAGTCGCCAGTCCGAACTGCCCTAAATAAAGGATCTCCTTTTTCGACACAACTGTACACCTTTCGAGTACTGGCCAGAGCTCAGCCAAAACTGAAACGATCATGAATGTCATTAATTACCATTTTCACCTTCTACAAGTATAAACTTCCTTAAGGTAAAGTGAAACCCCCTTCAAATCAGTCGATTCGAATACAACACTTTTTTTTAAGGGTATTAGACCAAACTGTCCGAAACTTTGACACATCGCTCCTGATCATCTAAGAATTGTCCTGACACATTCAAAATTTGGATTTTTTAACAAAATTTTATAACAGCCCAGACCAGAACCAAAATGGCGTCGAGCTCTCATATTTCGATCAATATACAATTATCGAAGGCTCTGATATGAGAATCGAAAGGGTCAGGACAATTTTACGACAATTTAGAACATTGTGGTAATCGATAAACTCGCATTTGAACGGGATAAAGGCAAAAAAAGAGTTGTATGCGCTTCTTTGTTAAAACGATGGTAATACGAGGTCTCGGAGTGAAAATTTAATTGACTTGGAAATCACAGATAGCGCAGGGGGTCCCTCCGCAGTGAATTAGGGCCCAGAAGGCATGAATCCAGAGGATTTCTGGAGTTTTACATCGATTTCTTGATATTTATTGTATGAAAACGACAGGTGGAGTATGCCATTTGGTACAATACCCAATATAATTCGACCATGTCAATATAAAAACGAACGTTGGCAACGTAGGCATTTAGAAAAATGTTCTTTATCGACGTCGATCAAGTTCCTCGACGTGTTTCACTTCACGTTAAGGAAGAACGTGATGCTCCTGAAATTTCATGATTGATAAACAATTTTTTTTATTTATTCCAGACTAGAACCAAGAATGCATATTTTTTTGTTGTTGACAAAAGAAATTTTACGAGTTCGCGTTCTCTCTCAGGGCCTACACAATCACGTGCTGAAGTTTCAAATGATTCGGGGCACCCGTTTTGGAGAAAAGTTTTATAAATATATTGTGGCGTTATATATAAAAAAATTTCATATCACCTTAACTGTCGGAGTTCTAGAGTTTTAGCAACGGTTATTTTGCGCATAAAAGCAAAGCTTGCCAGGTAAGTAGGTTTCTTGCGCAGCATAAAACGGGAATTAAGGTGAACCGTTCGAAGCGTTATTGCGACATTAACCGAGTAAAATGAATGGATTCTAGGGGAAAAACACGTAGCCCCATTCGCACTGTCACGATTTCAAAAGCTCACCAAAGAGATCTATAGAACTTTGATGATTGATTAGCACCACGCAGCCGCTATCCTGGACGATGTTCTCCTTTCCTCGAATCTCAAACTGAATCCCTAATAACTTGGCAGTTTGTCTTGAGCACCACGCAGGAGGTCTGCAACGGGGAAAATTATTAATAACAGTGGGGTGCGTCATAGCGCCTCGAAAATAGGAGCTCATATGTGCCCATAATTATGAAAGTGGTCTAAGTCAAAATTAAAAAAAAAATGAGTTTGTCAGTTATTTCACACCACATTATTTTAAACTAAATGAATTCAATGTAATTTCGAAACAAAAAATACATGACTTAGACCACTTTCATAATTATGGGCATATATATCATACTAAAATGAATAGCAATTCTTAATGAGTATTAACCGATAAGTATACCCAAGTGTTAAATAATTATGAGTGCTCGGAGGTAGCTTTCTGTCAAATGAGTTTATAAAAATTTTAATCTCACCCTGTATTTGACAATTAATCCAAGAAAATGTTATATATTCACGCGGTTACATCTGAACTACAGGGATCTGATAAAAGATTCAGATTACATCATATATATATATATATCTGATGTTCGTTCCTCGACGTGTTTCACTTCACCTTAAGATCAAGATCTGAATTGAAAATATCGTTTGAAATTCATGTTAATATCGTTCAATCAACTTTACAGCATATTTTATCGATAATAGGAAGTAAAAATATCTTTATCGCGAGAACTCCCTTATTCAGAGAAAATGATATTTTCGCTCAGTGTAGAAAATATGTGTCCATAATTATGAAAGTGGTCTAAGTCATATATTTTTTGTTTAGAAATTACATTGAATTAATTTCGTTTGAAATAATATGGCGTGAAATAACTGATAAACTCATTTTTTTTTTTTTTTTAATTTTGACTAAGACCACTTTCATAATTATGGGCACATATATCGGACCGAGAAACTAGTCGTTGTCAAACTCTTCAGGGATTCGTCTTCTCAGTCGCGATTACGGGCAAGTAATCAGACCTTTGAAAAAAAATTGTCGAATATCTTACAGAGCGTTCTTCCAGCTGCCAGGCCTCAGGAACATAAAGGGAAGATACCACGTTACGGAAATTGCACTCAGGACTATGAAGACGAAGAACTTGACCCGATATCTGGCAGCCTCGCTGATAGCACAAACTATCACGAGTAGGAAGATCAATGCCAATCCGATACTGCTGCACGATATGCCGAGGACCCTGCAACACGGCATCAGAATGGAACACTTAACACTAAACGTACCGAGATATAGTATATACCTATTTGTACCGCAACCGGTCAAATGACCGGTTTTTAGATAAGGACTATTTATTTTTACTTTTCTTACTTTTCTATTTATTTTTCCTGATTGAATGGAGAAATATTGATTTTAGTAAGGAAATTGTATTGTCTCACATCCTACCTTACCCCTGTCACACGATAATTCGCGGATCTCGATATTTTGTAAATTTGTACAGTTAATTATCGTTTAGTACTGTATATATCTTTGTACTCGAATTTAGGGTAATCGCGAAACATTTCCGCGCAACTTTTAATACCGGGTTTTGTATGCTTCATTATACACTCATTGTAAATGCCATTAGGAGCCGTCGGCAGACGTCCTTTCCCTTTTACCCGCATACATCCTACCTTTCCTATCCCTTTTCTAACAATTTTTCCTTAATTTCGGGTTTTTCCTCGTAGGTTGCCTCCGAACGCACCCGATGCCCCGTCATAAACGACGGGGACCGGGCGCGGACGAGCTGACCGACAAAAGTGACAATGCATGTTCACAAAGTGCTTTTCCTTCTTTTCCTTCGGGTCCCGGTTAAAATTTTCCTTCTGCTTTCCCGTAGGTCACGTACGCACCTCGCTCGGGACTTTACCTGCATGAGTCCTTTCCCAACGAGTTCATTCCGTGCTCATCGCCGACAGCTCCGAATCTTAAGCTGAAGTGAAACCCCCTTCAAATCAGTCTATTCGAATACAACACTTTTTTTTAAGGGTATTAGACCAAACTGTCCGAAACTTTGACACGTCATTTCTGATCATCTAAGAATTGTCCTGACACATTGAAAATTTGGACTTTTGGAAGAAGTGTTTTAACTTAGTCCAGACCAGATCCAAAATGGCGTCGAGCTCTCATATTTCGATCAATCTATAATTATCGAAGGCTCTGATATGAGAAACGAAATGGTCAGGACAATTTTACAATTTAGAACACTGGTAATCGATAAACTCGCATTTGAACGAGATAAAGGTAAAATAAGTGTTGTATGCGCTTCTATGCTAAAACGATAGGAATACGAGATCTTGGCGTCAAAATTTAATTGACCTGGAAATCACAGATGGCGCAGAGGATCCCTCTGCAGAAAGATTCGAAACGTGGAATTTAGAATCATCTAAAGAAGTATTACGTGGTCGTATAATATCTCCAAATCACATCATATCTGAATAATAATTAACATATTCACATAATAAGTACGTTGTCATTAACGTAAGTTAGGTAACTGAACCGCTATCTGTTGACATAGTGGTAAAATATATAAATTATTTTTCCGCCAATAATTAGTTCGGAAGGGCCCAACTGAATTAATGCACTTTCAAAATAGAACTAAATGAATTCCATATATTGTTAGGTAG